GCATTCTACTTTTTCAACAGATTTGGATCTAGACATTTGACATTCCAAAGACTCAGAGCGGCTGCTTTGAGACCTCTGTGAAATCTCCTTCACCTCTATTTCTTCATCAGATTTGGATCTGGACTGGAGATGTTCAGAAGATTTGGAGCAGCTACTTTGAGACCTCTGTAAAGGCTCCTGCACCTCTATTTCTTCAACTGATTTGGATCTGGACTGGAGATGTTCAGAAGATTTGGAGCGGCTACTTCGAGACCTCTGTAAAGGCTCCTGCACCTCTATTTCTTCAACTGATTTGGATCTAGACGTGCGACGTTCAGAAGACTTGGAGCGGCTACTTCGAGACCTCAGTGAAGGCTCCTGAGCCTCTATTTCTTCAACAGATGTGGATCTGGACTTGTGAGGCTCAGAAGACTTGGAGCGGCTACTTCGAGACCTCTGTGCGGGCTCTTGAACCATTATTTCTTCAACAGATTTTGATCTGGACTCGTGACATTCAGAAAACTTGAAGCGGTTACTTTGAGACCTCTGTGACAATTCTTTGCCCTCTATTTCTTCAACAGATTTGGATCTAGATTGTTGATGTTCCAAGGACTTGGAGCGGCTACTTCGAAACCTCTGTGAAGGCTCCTGAACCACTATTTCGTCAACAGATTTGGATCTATACATATGACATTCAGAAGACTTGGAGTGGCTACTTCGAGACCTCAGTGAAGGCTCCTGAGCCTCTATTTCTTCAACAGATTTGGATCTAGATTTGTTACATTCAGAAGACTTGGAGCGGCTACTTCGAGATCTCTGTGAAGGTTCCTGTACCTCTATTCTTTCAACAGATTTGGATCTAGATTTGTGATGTTCAAAAGACTTGGAGTGTTTACTTCTAGATCTCTGTGAAGACTCCTTGCTCTGTCTTTTTCCAACAGATTTGGATCTAGATCTAGACTTTAGACCATCAAAGGATTTCGAGCATCTGCGTCTGGACCTCCATGAAGACTCTTTGCTTCCTAGTTTTTCAATAGATTTGGATCTAGATTTGAGACGATCAGAGGACTTGGAACGTCTACGTTTAGACTTCCGTGAAGACTCTTTACTACCTATTTTTTCAACAGATTTGGATCTAGATTTGCGATGATCGGTGGATTTGGAGCGTCTACGTTTAGACCTCCGTGAAGAGTCTCTGCCCCCTCTTTTTTCAACAGATTTGGATCTAGATTTGAGACGATCCGAGGACTTGGAACGTCTACGTTTAGACCGCCATGAAGAGTCCCTGCCCCCTCTTTTTTCAACAGATCTCGATCTTGACTTGAGACGATCAGAGGATTTCGAGCGTCTGCGTCTGGACCTCCAGGAAGATTCTTTGCCACCTCTTTTTTCAACAGATCTGGATCTGGATTTTGATTTGAGACGATCAGAGGACTTGGAGCGTCTGCGTCTAGACCTCCAGGAAGATTCTTTGCCACCTCTTTTTTCAACAGATCTGGATCTGGATTTTGATTTGAGACGATCAGAGGATTTGGAGCGTCTGCGTCTAGACCTCCAGGAAGATTCTTTGCCACCTCTTTTTTCAACCGATCTGGATCTGGATCTGGACTTGAAACGATCAGAGGACTTGGAGCGTCTGCGTCTGGACCACCAGGAAGATTCTTTGCCACCTCTTTTTTCAAAAGATCTGGATCTGGATCTGGACTTGAAACGATCAGAGGATTTGGAGCGTCTGCGCCTAGACCTCCGTGAAGACTCTTTGCGCTCTCTTTTTTCAACAGATCTGGATCTAGACTTGAGACGATCAGAGGACTTGGAGCGTCTGCGTCTGGACCTCCAGGAAGAGTCTTTGCGCCCTTTTTTCTCAACAGATCTGGATCTAGACTTGAGACGATCCAAGGACTTGGAGCGTCTGCGTCTAGACCTCCCTGAAGAATCTTTGCGCTCTCTTTTTTCAACAGATCGGGATCTAGACTTGAGGCGATCAGAGGACCTGGAGCGTCTGCGTCTAGACCTCCGTGAAGAATCTTTGCCCTCTCTTTTTTCAACAGATCTGGATTTAGACTTGAGACGATCAGAGGACCTGGAGCGCCTGCGTCTAGACCTCCAGGAAGAGTCTTTGCCTTCCCTTTTATCAATGGATCTGGATCTTGACTTGAGACCATCAGAGGACCTGGAGCGCCTGCGTCTGGACCTCCAGGAAGAGTCTTTGCCCCCTCTTTTTTCCACAGATCTGGATCTAGACTTGTCATAAGATGTGGAATGGTTCTTTCTGGAATCTGAGTAGTTTCTGCTCCTAGACCTTGCTCTTTTATATTTCAAATGTTTAGAAACAGAACGTGACCTGGACTTTTTTTTCCGCTTCCTGGATCGTGAAAGAGATTTAGATTTACTCCTTTTTAATTTCTTTGCATCTTGTTTATGTTTATCACTACTCTTGTTACTTTTTTCATGTGCTTTCTTTTTTTTAAAAAGATCATCATTCTTCACTTCTGCCACAGATCCTGGAGCCGCTTCGGAATCTTTTGCCTCTGCCACAACCACCACCAATTCCGGAGCCACTCCCGAAACTTCCACCGCTGCCACAGCCACCACCGATACTGGAGCCACTCCCAAATCTTTCACCTCTTCCGCCACTGGCCCAAATGCTGGAGTTGCTTCCGAATCATTCACCTCTGCTGTCACTGTCACAGATTCTTGAGTAGTTTCTGAATCTTTAACATACAGTGTATACAGAGAATCTGGAGATGTTTCCAAATTTTTCACCTCTGCCATAGCCACCACAGATTCTGGAGCTGCTTCTGAATCATTCACACCTAAAGTATGCAGAGAAACACTAGCTGCTTCTGAATCTTCTACCTCTGCCACTGCCACCAGAGAATCTGGAGCAGCTTGCAAATCCTTCACCTCTGCCGCTACTGCCACAGATTCTGAAGCTGCTTCTGAATCTTTCGCCTCTGCCGCCATCGCCCCAAATGCTGGAGTTGCTTCTGAATCCTTCACCTCTGCTGTCACTGCCACAGATTCTTGAGTTGTTTCTGGATCTTTAACGTACACTGTATACCAAGAATCTGGAGGTGCTTCCAAATTTTTCACCTCTGCCATGGTCACCACAGATTCTGGAGCTGCTTCCAAATCTTTCATCTCTGCAGCCACCCCCACAGATTTTGGAGTGCCTTCTGACTCTTCTACGTCTGCCACCGCCACCAGAGAAACTGGAACAGCTTTCAAATCTTTCACCTCTGCCACCACCACTACAGCATCTGTAGCAGCCTGCAAATCCTTCACCTCTGCCATTGCCACAGATTCCAGAACGGCTTCTAAATCTTTCATTTCTGCAGTAGCCACCACAGATTCCGGACTTGTTTCTGAGTATTTCAACTCTGCCACTGTCACAACAGATTCTGGAGCAGCTTCTGAATCTTTCACCTCTGCAGCCACTACCACAGATAGTGGAGTTCTTTCAGAATCTTTCACATCTTCAGTGTGCAGAAAATCTGGAGCTGCTTCCAAATCTGTCACCTCTTCAGCTGCTATCACAGATTCTGTAGTTGATCCAGAATCTTTCACATCTACAGGACGCAGAATATCTGGCGCTGGTTCCAAATCTGTCACCTCTACAGCCAAAGATTTTGGAGCTGCTCTCAAATCCTTCATCTCTGCCACCATCACAGATTTCAGAGCTGCTTCTAAATCTTTCATTTCTGCAGTCACCACCACAGATTCTGGACTTGTTTCTGAGTATTTCAACTCTGCCACTGCCGCCACAGATTCTGGAGCGGCTTCTGAATCCTTCGCCTCTGAAACCACCACCACAGATTCTGGAATTGTTTTAGAATCTTTCACATCTATGGTATGCAGAGAATCTGGAACTACTTCTGAATCTTTCACCTCTGCCAGCATCACCACATATTCTGGAGCTGCTTCCAAATCTTTCGCCACTGCTGCCGATTCTGGAGCTGCTTGTAAATCCTTCACCTCTGCTACTGCCACCACAGATTCTGGAACTGCTTCCAAGTCTTTCACCTTTGCAGCTGCCGCCAATTCTGGAGTTGCTTCCAAGTTATTCATGTTTACTGTGTGAAGAGAATCTGGAACTGCTTTCAAATCTTTCACCTCCACCGTGGCCACAGACTCTGGAATAGGTCGCAATACCTCTGTAATAGCCTCAGATTCTAGAGCTGCTTCAGAATCTTTCACCTCCACTGTTAACTCAGGAATCTCAGGAGTTTCCGGAAATTTCAGATCCACAATGTGCTGAGATTCTAAAACTGTTTCCAAATCTAGCACTGCATTAGGACTTTCTACAGTTGTTTCCAAATGTTTTCTCTCTGCTATGCCCACAGATTTCAAAACTGCTTCTGAATATTTCACCTGCACAGTGCCTGAAGTTTCTTCCAAATCCTTCAGATCTGTTGCAGCCTCAGCTTCTAGATCTGCTTCCAAATCTTTCATTTCCTCAGTGTGCAGAGATTCTACATATGCTTTTGAATTTTGTATCTTTTCCACTGTCAAAGATTCTGGTGTATCTTCCAAAATTTTCACCTCCACTGTTTTATCAGATTTTAGAGTTGTTGCTGAGAATTTCAGATCCGTCACAGCCTCAGATTCTTTCACCTCTACCATTGGCATAGATTCTGTAATTTTTTCCAACTCCTCCACCTCTGCAGTGTACAGAGTTTCCAGAGTTTCTTCCAAATCTTTCGTCTCTGTCAACACCTGCGCTTCTGGAGTTGCTTCTGAATATTTTACTTCTTCTGTTTCCTCAGATTCCAGAGATGCTTCCAAAATTTTCACATCCACTGGCTGCCAATGTTCTGGAATTTCTTCCAAATCTTTTACCTTCATCCTGACCACAGATTCTGAAGCAGCTTCCAAATCTTTCACATCTACCATGACCTTAGATTCTAGGGTTTCTTTCAAATCTTTCACTTTTGCTGCCGCCTCCAATTCTAGAGCAGGTTCTGCAACTTTCACCTTCGATGAGCAGAGAGATTCTGGAACTGCTTCTGAATCCTTTACCTTTGCTTTATACAAAGATTCTGGAGCAGCCTTAGAATGCTTTACATCCATGACTACTTCAGATTTTAGGGTTGTTTCCAAATCTTTCGCCACCACCATCTCACACTCTAGAGTTTCCTTCAAATCTTTCACCACTGTCACAGTCTCAGGTTCTAGAGTTGATTGCAAATCTTTTACCACTATATGCAGCAATTCTCGACTAGCTTCAGAATCTTTCACCAGAGTGACGGGCTCCGATTTTTGAATTGTTTTTGAATCTTTAATTTGCATCATCATCTCAGGTCCCGGAGTTTTTCCAGAATCTTTCAAGTCTGTAAGGTGTAAAGATTCTGGGGTAGCTTCTGAATGTTTCAACTCTGCCTTGGCCTCAGATTCTAGACATTTTTTAGAATATTTTATGCCAGTCATTGCCTCAGATTCCGGTGTGGCTTCCGGATCTTTCACTTCCACTACTGCCCTAGATTCCAGAGTTGATTCAGAATCTTCCATCTCTATTATAGTGGCATCAGACTTTGTAGCTGTTTCAAAACCTTTCATCACCTCCACCTCAGTATGTGGAGATATTTTCAAGTCACTTACTTCTGTCATGACTTGGGATTGTGGAATTGTTTTCAAATCTTTCACTTCCATCAGCACCTGAGTTTCTGTAGTTGTTTCTGAATCCTTTGACTCTGCCACTGCTTCAGATTCTGGGGTGGTTTCCAAATCTTTCACTTCTGCCAGTGATTCAGATTGTCCAACTATTTCCATGTTTTTCACTTCTGATGTTGTCTCAGATTCTGGAGTTATTACCAAATCTCCCTCCATGCACAGAAATTTGGGAATTGCTTCCAAATCTTTAAACTGAGTTGTGACCTCAGACTCAGCTTGTACAAGTTTATTTAAATCCTTCACCTCTACCATGACTACGGACTCAAAGGCTGCTTCCAAAGCCTTCAACTTCACCACAGACATAGATTCTAGGACTCCTTCTGATTCTGTCACATCTTCTATTTGCAGAGATAGTGGAGGTGTTTCTGCACTTTTCTCCTCCACCCTGGCCACAGGCCCTAGGGTTTCTTCCGAACTTTTTGCCGCCATGACAGATTCTAGGGTTCCTTCTAATTCTTTCACATCTTCCATTTGCAGAGACCGAAGCATTGCTTCCGAATCTTTCACCTCTGCCACCGGTTCTAGAGTTGCCTCTAAATCTTTTGCCGCGGCCTCAGATTCTAGGGCTCCTTCTGAATCTTTCACATTCTCCATTTCCAGAGACAGCAGAGTTGCTTCTGAACCTCTTCCCTCCCCCACAGCCACAGCTTTTAGGGTTGGTTTTGAACCTTTTGCCATGGCCAAAGATTTTACACCTCCTTCTGAACCTTTCACATCTTCCATCTGCAGAGACAGAGGTGCTGGTTCTGAACCTTTCACCTCCGAGACAGATTCTAAGATTGCTTCCAAGTCTTTTGCCTCTGTCACTGGTTCTTGGGTTGCTTCTGAGCCTTCTTCCATGGCAACAGATTCTAGAGCTCCTTCCGAATCTTTCACATCTTCCATTTGCAGAGATAGTGAAGTTGGTTCCACACCTTTATTCTCTGCCAAGACAACATGTTCTAGGGCTGCTTCTGAACCTTTTGCCACTGCCACAGATTCTACTAGGGCTCCTTCCAAATCTTTCACTTTTTCCATTTGCATAGAAAGTGGAGTTGCACCTTTCGCCACAGCCACATGTTCTAGAGCCACTTCCAGACCTGTTGTCATGACCACAGGTTCTAAGGATGCTTCCAAAGCTTCCATATCCTGTATGTGCAGCGATTCTGGAATTTCTTGCAAATCTTTCACCTCTGTCACCCCTGCAGGGTCTAGGATTGTTTCTGGACCTTTTGCCATGGCCACAGATTCTAGGAATCCTTTTGACTCTTTCATATCTTCTATTTGCGGAGACAGTGATGGTGCATCTGAATCTTTTGCCTCTGCCAGAGGAGCAGGTTTGAGGGTTCCTTCCAAATCTATTGCCATAGCCACAGATTCTAGGGCTCCTTCTGCACCTTTCACCTCCTCCATGTGTAGAGATTCTGGAGTTATTTCCAAATCTTTCCTCTCCATTGCAGGTTTTAGAGCTGCTTCCAAATCTTTTGCATTCACAACAGGTTCTGAACCTTTCACCTCCCCCATAGATGCAGATTTTGGTATTGCTTCCAAACCATTCACCTCTGCCTTAGCCACAGATTTTGAAGTTGCTACCAAATCATCTGGCACAGTCACAAATTCAAGCCCGCCTTCCAAACTTTTTGCCTCTGACACACCCACAGTTTCTAGAGTGGCTTCCAAACCTTTCATATCTGTCATGACAACAGATTCTGCGGTTCCTTCCAAAGCTTTCGTCTCCATTACAACTACAGATGTTGGAGTTTCTACCAAATCATTTGTCACAGCCACAGATTCTAGAGTTGCTTTCACCTCTGCTATGGCCACAGATTCTAGAGGGGCATCCAAACCCTCTGAAGTCGCCATAGTCAGAGATTTTAGAATTGCTTCTGAAAATTTAATCTTTGCCATGGCCTCAGATTCTAAGGTTGTTTCTAATTCTTTCACCTCCACCATGCCCATCGATTTCAGAGTAGCTTCTGAATCTTTTAGTTCTTCTGTTATCTCAGAGGCTGGAATAGCTTCCAAATCCTTTTCAATTTCAGATTTACCAGCAACTCCAGTTCTGTTGGTAGACACAGTACCATTTTCAGTGTCTTTAACTGGTAAAGGTCCACCCTTTGCATTCATATTAATAGCTATATGATATATACTTTCATGAGTCTTATTCACCAATAATTTTACTTTAGCTTGCTCTTGAATTTTCATTGTACTAGTATTTTCTTCCTGGGTATCCAATTTGCTGGTTTCTGAACTGTGTATATCAGTCAAGGCCAAGTTTGTTTTTTCACTCCCAAGTTTTTCCACAGATGATTCAGAATCTGATAGCAAATGAGGTGTGAGTCTTTTAATTGAATGCCCCATGTACTCTGCACTCAATTTTGTGCCCAATTCTTCTGGCTGCATTTGACCAGCAAGATCTGAATCTGCATGCCCTCCATGCTGTGTGATCAACTTTGAGCCCAATTTTTCTGTCTTTGAGTGAGAAGCAGGTTGTAAATCTGCATGCTCTCCATACTGTGCACTTAATTTTGATTCCTTTGGCTGCTTTTTATGTTTTTTTTCTTTCTTCCTTTTCTTCTTCTTTTTCTTCTTCTTCTTCTTGCTTTTGTGTTTCTTGTTCTTTTTTGATTTTTTTCTTGGAATTTCATCTTCTACTTCGTCAGTAGGGCCTCTTTTTGTAGATGAAGAGCTATTTTTCACTGAATCTTCCTCCACACCTTAAAAAAAAAGGACATTTATTTAAAACTAATTTTATAAAAAGAAATTCAAATATAAAATATTTTAAACCAGTATTTGGGCACAGGTGCACATAAAGTTATACACAACCTGAAATCAACATTTTTTACGATAACATCACGAGTTACATTTTCCCTCAGTAAGAGCTTAAAACAGGGATCCCCAACGTGGTGCCTGTGGGTGCCATGGCACCAGCCGGGGCGTCTAAGTGCGCCCGGTACTGGCCGGTGGACGAGCATCCACTGAAATGCCGCCAAATTTCAGCGATGACGCCTCTGGATGACGCCATTTGTCGGCGGCATTTCGGCGGATGCTCGTCCGCCACCACAGTCCTCCGTGGCTCGTCATGTGGCGCCCGCCAGATGAAAAAGGTTGGGGACCCACTGGCTTAAAATGTCTGGGTTAAAACCAAAAATTTAGCTTTCAAAAAAATTAAACCAATCTTCAAACTGCCTCTTGCCAATTTTTTGGTAGGATTTCTATACTTAAAACAACAAATAAGACTGTTAAGTTGATGTGATAGCAGCTGACCTTTGATCAGTAGCTAAAACATTTATAATGATTGGAAGACAGCAAAGACTATGCCTGAAAAAAATAGCACATATTACAAAATTACACAACTGTGAAGAAAATGTGCCATTTGCATTATCCAAGAAAAAGACTTCAACAAAACTTTTACTTTAGTTGTTAAAATACATGTCTTAAGATTTTTTTTTTTTAAGTGATAGGTCAACATTTTCCTAAAATTGAATGTGTATGTTTAAAAAGCCTTAACAAATATTTAAGAAAATTTCTCAAGGTTATTTATTAATTCCAATAGAAACACTTTTTCTTTAAAAAAAAAAAAGTTACGCAACCACACATTGCAGCATTTGCTCGTACATGAAGACTAGCAAAAAAATGATCAGAAGCTAAAAATAAAACAATTCAAATTCACTAGCTTTCATTACCCAATCTGAGAGAACTTGAGAAATACACAAAGCGCTTAAGCAGGGAGGTATACAAACATCGTAAAGCCCCCTTAAGTACGCCTCAATCCTGCAAAGATTTACACACATGCTTAACTATGAGTAGTGCCACTGAAACCAAGGGCATGTGAAGCAGGTAAATACTTGCAGAATTGGGCACTAAAGTGTAATTAGTAAAAACATTTTTATACAGTATATAATTCTAGTCTGCCAGGTTCCTTTAAAAAAATAATTGCACTGAAAAAAAATTTTTGTACGTTGCAGCAACCCAGCAACCTTAAGCTGTAACGGAGGACTACGATTTACTTCTATCCTCAAAACAATACTTAAAAGGAGAAAGTGATCTTGGAATAAAAGAGTTGATATCAAAAGTAAACATTCAGATTCTATGATGATGGGCATACTATAAAACGCATATGGCCCTGATCATGAAAACATGCACGTAACTTTACACACATGAGTGTTTGTATGACTAAGGCCTATATTAGCTAAGTGTTTTAATTAAAAAAAAAAAAAAAAAAAAAAAAGGGACATTTCTATCCATGTTCCTTCAACTGCCATGAAGAGTATCAATAATATAGGGTCAGCGTCCTTTCCTGCACAACTTTTTCAATAAATCCCAAATCACTGCTGTAGCTTCACCTTTACCATTGCTGGTTGGCGGCGCATTAGCGCATAATGGTTGCAAGTCTTTTTACTACCAAATTATCTAGTCTTCTTTTGAGAAGAATTAGACAAGTTTTAAAAACACGAATGGCCAGTTTGCACTAGTGCTCCCACTGTTCCTTGTACTATTCAACCAACACCAGTTCTACACCAACTGCAAGGAAGATTTCTGAAAATGCTCAGTGTAGAAAAGCCATAGTACATTATGGAAAGAAGAAACATTATCAGAAAAAATTGCAAATGTAGCCTTTGCGATTATTCAGATCAAAGATCAACGACAAAGTTCTACATTGTCTTCTGTGGAAACAGAGTCTATACTTACCAAGTGCACAGCAGTCCTCTCATTTCCATGACATAACAATGAAAATGCATTTTTTGTAATCAAGTAGGACCCCAATACTGCCAATTCTTACATATACAAGTAACTTTACTCATGTGAATATCCCATTGAAATCACTGGAACTACTCAAATGTAGGCAATGCTTGCAGGACTCGTTTTTGCTGGATTCATTGTTATCAGAGGGTCTATACAGGCATTTTATTTAGTGTATTACATTTGAAGCAACAGAAAGCTGAATGCCTGTTTTTTTCCAATTATAAGTACATTATTCACTAATACCACCACCATTAAATTACTTTATTTCATACCTTGCTATCTGATTAATATGCTTGGTCATACAATTTTGTAGTTTGATAAATGATGTGAGGAGTAATCCTATAGACCTTACTCAGGCAAAACTTCCATTGATTTCAGAAAGTTTTGCCAGAGTTAGAAAAAAATTATATTCTCTGATTTTTTTATTCTGTTACTGTCACAAATAAAATTTAATATTAATATAACAAAGAAATAAGGGGCAGAAGATTACTTTTCTCTTAATTTGTGCACTTGACAGCACTATATGGATAATCAGTTTCAGAGGATTACTATATATGTAAAATATATATTACATTTTTACATATATGTAAAATATTATAAAACCATAAAAAGTATCAGGGAAGTGCACGGCAAGAGTAGCACTAGAAACTTTTATTTCATTGTCAAAATACTGACTAGATTTACTCTTGATGGTGTCCCCTTGAAGAAAAACATATTTGCAATGTTTAAGCATTTTCATTTACCTGATTTACACTGTAGCTCTGTATCAAGGGCCCCAGACAGTACTTCCTCTATTTTCTGAACTATCTGATCATTCTGAAGACTCCCAGCACCCGTAACTGTGTCATCTGAAGTGTTTGCTTGCTCAGCTGGGACTGTTTCACCATTCTGCTGGCCTTCTACCTTTCCACTAACCGAGAAAAATATTAACAAAATTCAAGTAATTTCGAGCTTTATTTTTATTTTTTAAAGGTAATGTATTCACATTTCTTATAGCCAAACCTTCTAAAGAATACTTTAGCCTCCTGAAGAGGCCTTGCACTTTAGTGAAATATTAATCTTTCAGTTTGTTTTACTTACTGCGTTCTTAGACAAAATACTTTGTTAGTCACTAGAACTATGCCAAAGGGAAGAAAATATTTTCTCACTGTTTCATCCCAGGCCTTTTCGCAACACAGAAATTTCGTTTCCCTCTTCCCTCCCCTCGCCAAAAAAAGAGTAAAACCCACCCCACCAAGCACTCTTTTTCAGACTGAAAACACACCAGCGTGCACGTGTTCTGAGGAGCATCAAAGCATTGCGAAATTAGCCCATCCAAACTTGTTATTTTCACTGAAGAACTGACCGCCCGGAGGGGCAGCGGCCTGGTTGCACCATAACCGGATGTCGCCGCTGAGCGCTGGGCCAGGCCCTGTATGTTCGAGTGACCCGCAACGGCCGCCCCTCCCCCACCTAACTGTCCCGAGTTATCCCTCCCCGCGCCCACCCTCCCTTCCACTGTCCCCGTCCCGCAACTGCCCCTGGACACCGCTCCCCGCCCCCACCCCGACTCCGCTCCCACTAGGCTCCCGTCCCACTCCGCCTCCCCGCGGCCCCGAGCCGGCTCGTTACCCGCCCAGCTGCTGCTGTTGTTCCTGCTCCTCCTGGATCTCCCGGAACTTGCTGACCACAAAGGACCGAAAGATCTGCTCGATGTTAGTCGCCATGACAGCCCCACGGCTCGACTCCCCCTCCATCCGCAACGCGGGTCCTCCACTACCCCACAATGCACCAGCGCAAGAAGCCACGGGCCAGCCCCCCCGCCGACGCGTTCCCTTTATGCCCTCCCGCCATTGGTCGCCCTCTGTGGAACCAGAGGCATGACGGGACGTCAATCAACCGCTCTACCCCCACAGGGAACCATAGAGCGCAGCCTCTCGTTGGGGGGGGGGGGGGGGAAGCCGGTGGA